ACAATTGTATTTTGGTATTTAACATGTAGTTAAAACTTTTAAAAAGTGTCGTCAAAATTTATATAGTAGCATAACGTTTTCGATCTAATCAGATCATCCTTAGTGCCTTATGTAGTTGAAGATAACAATAAAGTTTTGGCTGTGACATCCATATATGAGTTTACATCATTCCAAATTTAAATTATGTTGTGACTATAAGTCGATGATATTGGATAAAATTTAATAATTTAGGAACTACATATCTCCGTACTCGGTTTTTAACAAATGGTACTTGTCAGTTAGAACGACACAGACCAACTGACTGAGGTGACAGGAATATAATATAAATCAAGAAGACAGCTAAACATGACGAAGTATGGGTGTCTTCCGAAACTAATGTATTTTTTTATGGATATATGGATGTGACAACGTTATACTACTTATAGCTAAATTTTGACGACATATGTTAAAAGTTTTAACTATATGTTTTTATACCAAAATACAATTGTGAATTGTTTTAACTTCTGCATGTTTTTTTAAACGATGGTATACAGCCAATTACTGGAGTTTTCCCAATAATTTTTCTCCATTACAGGTAGGATGCAGGAATTAAACACTTTGGTTCGCCGTCTTTAAGGTATACTTTTATTTTTAAGTACGTATGAGAGTCTTCCTAATGTTGCCCATCCAATTTTTACACATCTATTTATTTCGGTAGTCTGATATTCTTTGCTTACCTTATGTATACCTTACAATTTGACCCAGATATGTATATTCATCTACGTGTTCTATCTCTACCCCTTGGATGTTTATCATAGGTTTGTCGTCTTTGTTTGACATTAGTTAAGTTTTGCTAAAATTCATTTTCAGTCCTTTTTTTGGGAATTCTGTGTATAGCTACTCAATGATCGTATTCAGTACCTTCCACATGTCGGTTATTAGAACTACATCATCTGCGTATCTCAGATGGTTCAAGTACCGTTCGTTAATAGGAATTCTTCTATTTTCCTAGTCTAATGACTTAAAGATATCTTCTAGGGCAGCTGTAAATAATGTTTTAGATATTGTGTCTTCTTGTCTTACGCCCCGGTTGATTTTTACTGGTCGTGTTTCGATTTCATTACCCAACGTCACTATAATTTCAGCTTGTTCGTAAATATTATGTATAAATATTCTGTACCTGGACTCGATCCGGTTATTCACTAATGCTTCTTCTATTACCTACAGTTTTACGCTATCAAAATCTTTTTCATAATCTATAACAGCCAGACATAATGGAAGATAGTATTGGTTAGTCTTTTTTATTAGGATTTTTAACCCAGCGTTGGTGTGGTGCCTGAAACTTACGTGCCTGGTGTGGTGGGTTGTGACATACCCTATAGCAGAATACGTCTTGGAAAACTCAATATTTGATTATCTGCATTAAAAGTATATACATTTCATTTGAACATTTGAAATAGTGTGTACTATAAAAAAATTGAAAAAGTATCAGCTCAAACAATTTATTGCACAGTTTAAAAATAGCAGAAATAGCAGCTTAAAACCATTACATTTTTCTGAAATGAAAAAAAAAACTAAAGACTTCTAAAAACACATTTTTCTTTATTTACTTATAAATTAATAACCATTATAAAGAAAAATACGGACTGAGGATGACCTGATTAACAACATCAACACAATTAACAACATCATTTACTGACTTTCCTCGTTGATGCAAGTATCACATTTGAAACATGAATGTTCTAAACAAACAAAATGCCTGCAATCATAACACACGTAGCGACTTTTTCTGTCTCTTGTTCTGGGGCACACCACACATCTACCTTGTACTTTCTGACGTTTAGGCAACGGTTCATCACAATCTGCAGTCTTATAGCCCGGTGTCTCACGCAGATTTCTCGGCAACCGAGGATTGTGTTGCCTTTCTTCCATATAATCTGCTATAAGTGACAAACTAAGAGATTTCAAATATTTTCGACGCTTCAGTGTATAGTTATTATTGTTGATCTTATAGATTACTTGGGAGTTGATTCCACACATATTCAAGAGCGCATAGAACACCGTCAACGGCCACGTTCTGCTGTTACGGGAAACGTTGTATGTACCTGATAACTGGTCAACGGTGTCAACCCCTCCCTTAGTAACATTGTAGAATGTGATTATTTCTGGCTTCCTAGCGTTTCCCATAGATTCGTCTATTGTGTCATCATGGTGTAGTGTTGATAACAAAAGAACATATTTGTTTTTCTTTGGGATATAGAATAGGTTGTATTTTTTTGGAAACCAAAAAGTGTAGAATACTGTTCTCGATTCTTTGTATTGACCATTGTGGAGGGAATTTGCTTCTTATTCTTTCGGACAGTACCCTCAGATGTTAACTGGTGTTCTTCAAGAAGTTGTTGCATTAATGGATAAGTAGTGAACCAATTATCGAATCTGATATTTCGTTTGCTGCCAGACACTGGTGAAATCAATCTTAAAACTACATCTGTAGGCTTTGTACTCAGTTTGAAAGGACCATCCGGTTGAGAACCACAATAAATTTCCAAGTTTGTAGTATAATAACATCTTGAATCGACTAAAGCAAAGATTTTGATTCCATAACGAGCCGGTTTATTCGGAATGTATTGCCGAAAAGGGCACCTGCCACGAAATGCCTCCAATTTTTCATCAATAGTGAGATACATGCCAGGTGTATAGGAAGACTGAAAATTGTCAACTACTCTTTCGAAAACACTTCTAATTGGGGTTAATTTATCGATTTTGATTCTATCTACGCACGTAGCTCCATTGTCAAACCGCAAGCACCTTAGCAGAAATTGAAAGCGTTTTAGAGACATAGTTTTCTTGAATATTGGCATTTCTGTGCCGTCGTTTGCCCAGAAATCTTCAAGGTTTCGCCGAGACGATCGATGCATTCCTGCCAAATAAAGTAATCCAACAACAGCCTTGATTTCTTGCTCGGAGGTCTCTTTTACTACGTATTGGTGCCCATCGTTGTAACGTTCACTTACTGAATTGATTTTCACATTAGTATATTTTACAATATCAGTTATGAGTGTGTCATCCATGAAAAGCTTTCAACAGTCAATTGCAGTTTTAGCTTCTTTAGCGTGTCGTTTCACGCCAGGCAATTGAGAAATTATATTTTCGGCTCTAGTTCGAACCGATCGTACTTCTACCTTCTTAGCCCATTTAGTCACTTTATCTCTGCCCAAATAATATCTACCTAATGTACTCACATCATCTCCATTCTCTTGTTCACTTTTATCTTCGTCGCCATCTTGTTCTGAGTCTGTGGCATGAGAACTTTCACTAACATTGTCGAACTGCACTTCGTCTTCGGAATCAGGAATAGCCCCATCTTCATAGCTTTGTACCTCTTTTCAGAATCTTAGCAATCTCGCTTGCTCTTGTTCATAAGTACACATATTTATAACAAATTTTAAGCACAACAACCAGAGTAAAAAGAAAAAAACCACGTGAAATTCGGAAAAAATGTCCAGCATTAACAATGATAAACTGACTGTCGGCAGAGGTGTGGTGGGGTGTGACATACCCTTGCGGCATATTATGACATCTATATAAATCAGTATTGAAGAAATTATGAAAATAACAATGCTACTCGATAGAATGATATTTTAGTAACAGATACTGAACAATAGAGGGCAGTAAGGTGCTGTTTTTGAGAGAAATTCCGTTTTTTGCATGCGTGGGGTTTATCATACCCCACCACACCAACGCAGGGTTAAAGTATATAGATGGTCACGTCATGTGCTGTACCCTTTTCTAAATCCGGCTTGTTGTACTGGTTGATATTCGCCAAATTTAATTGTTAACCTGTTTGTGATAATCTTTGAAAAGGTTTTGTAAAGTGAAAGAAATGAAATTGGTCGATAATTTTTCAGGTCTGTGGTGTCTTTCTTTTTGTGTATCAGTATTGTTTTAGCAGTATCTCATTGTTCGGGTATGTTGCCTTCGAATAGACATTTAATAAATAGCATTTTAAATATGTTATGCTTCTTCTTCGCCTTCCTTTAGCATTTCCGCTAGGATTCCATAGCTTTTTCAGAAGTTTTATTGCTTTTTATTTCTTTTACTGCTCTTTCTATGTCTTTGGGGCTTATTTCGGGCATCACTTTTAAGTTGACATTATCTGTCTTTTCAAGTTCTGTAAGGGGAATCGTTTCTGGAACGATACAGATCGGAGGAAAACTTTTCAATTGAGTTTGCTATATTTCCTAGTTGTTTCTGTTCATTTTTAATTGATATTATGCTTTTTTCCTAGTGCGTTTGAAGTGGTTTACTCAAAAAATAACTAATTACCCTTCAGTGAAATTAGTTCTTTTTCGTATTCTTCTTGGAACGTCAAGATGGGCTCTAACGAGTCCATTTATGACTGTCAACCTAAATATCTTTAACTTAAGCGATTTTCCACCAAAAATACCAAAAGATACGGATACCATCATTTCTTTGATTTTCTGTGAACTTTATAAATTGACTTTAGGATGTCCATTTTGGCAACAAAACCCATGTTATTGTTAACCTTGTAGTCCTTGACTAGTGTTGGACAAACAATGTACTCCATACAACCATTTTTCTTCTTAGACACTATTCCAGTATGTTCGGGATTATGATAATTACTTATAAACAAAACACCCTTTAGGTCTTTGCATTTCACGAAAACAGTACCATCTTTGGTAATTCGCCAATTTGACTTCCATCTAGCTAATTGTCATATTGAATTAATTACCGATATAAGGAGTTCGCAGAACTAACCTACTATAAGCTAATTAGCTCGATTAAGATAGTTTCGATATTTATGAACGATATTTTTGACAAATCAAACCAAATATTTAAAAAACAGAAAAAAAAATAGTGCTTTGTTAAAACATTAAAGATATTCTATTCAACTACATAAATTTAATATGTTAGATGTTTATACTTATCTTTACTTACAAATTTTAAAAATGTATAAAATTAATTCAAAAATTCATACCAGCCCAAAAGAACAGCCATACCAATCCATTCATTAAGCGGTACATATTTTTAACGTTTCTTTTGCTTTCTAAATTAATTAAATCATATGGCCAAAAGTCATTTAATATTATATGGAATACAGACTTAAATTCATCAGACTTGTACCATAAAATGAAAATTTTATACATACCCTAAAAACAAATTACGTATTAAATATTTAATATAATTATTAAAATATTTTATAAAGAATCAAATTATAACGTCAGTCTGAATAAAAGAAGTATCTTAGATATACATATAAGTTGTAATTGAAATTAAAACTAGGGCCTTAACACTTTGACTGCCATTACAGTGGCTGAGTTCAAACCGCCACGTGTATATTTACATATAGTCAGTAAAGATCCTTTGGCCATGTGTATTCCACAGAAGCACACTCAACGTGTATTTTAATAGGATTTTACTTAGCGTGGCCTGGGGCAAATTAAAAATGATTTTAACATGGGAAAAAAATACTTCGTCATTTTTTTATTAGCAGTTGAATTGTAGTATATTTTTTATAACTTAAACGCTAATAATTTTTATGTAAAAGTGTTTATTGTGAATAATATTAGAATAATACACTATAAAATAAAAACTAACACATGTTTTAAATTATACTCAAATGACTACTTTGGAAAAATTTTGTGCTTATCAAAAAAACATTCTAAGTAGAGAAATTTTGTCCACAGACTTGGCATTTAGTGGTAACTTGCTTAGGTGTGTTGTGGGGAGTATAACTTTGTTTACCTTTTGAAAGTAGTTTCAAGCACAATTTTTGTTTAAAATCTGTTATACTTATTCTTTCTGGTGCAGTTTTGTTCTTATTATATAAATAATGAGCATTTACTATGCTTGTTCCAGTACTGATGGTAGAAGTTGAACTGCCACCTTCCTGTAACATTTAATGCTTCGTCTAATAGAGGTAGAATAAGACGACAATTGGTCGGATACATCAATGAAACTTTTTGCATTATTATAAGCCACAATAGCTTCCGGTTTCTTTTTGACCTCAATTCTATCTAGAAGATCAATAAAATTTAGTTTATGTTTGGTGGTAAGCATCAGGACATCGCGCTTATCTTTCCATTTAAAAATGACAATGCCGTTTCTCTCTCATAGCCATACATTTGTATGCTGCATCCACTTTAAAAGTATCTATTCGTCATTGTTTTTAGAAGTGGGGCACACTCAGAATGAGAGTGAGAGTGAGTTATATTTTTTTTTATTTTTTTTTTTGTTACTAGAAGGTTTTTATGTCTAATTAAAATTAAAGTTATGTTGATTGATCTTATAATAATGGTTATTAAAAGGTACTACTGTACCTTAAAATAATTACAATACGGTACTACTTTTTGAATTTGTATGACAAATAACGAAAATTCTATTAATAAAATATTGTAGTGTGATTCTATCATAATAATTTCACTCTTTTTCATTATACCTCTGAATATTTTTATTACAATGAGGTTAATAAACTTACGACATTATTATTTACCATATTAACAACAATTATTTACCATTTTTTACAAAGAAGACATGACATACGACAAAAAGTTTTGTATAGTGTTCAACGTAATTTATAGTGAGTGTTACATACTGTAATTTATTTTTTATGTTGGTTAACGTAAAATATCGTAAGTGATTCTTTCTCGAAAACAAGAAATAATATTAATTAAAGTACTACACAGGATTATTACCCACCTATTGCTTGATTAATAAACACATTTTTAAATATGTTGGTTGTTTTTTCACTGAACTCTCTTTGTCAACCATTTTCCATCTACTCCTGAATGTAGGTCTCTCCTAATTGCTTCCATCTTTCTCTATCTTGCGCCAATCTAATCCACTGTTTGCCTGCTACTGCTCTTATGTCATCTACCCAGCTTTTTTGATGTCTTTCTATGCTTATTGTTGTGGTCCTTGGTCTCCATTCTAGAATTCTCCGTGTCCACCTGTTCATTATATCGGGCTACGTGACCTGCCCAGCGCCATTTTATTTTTGTAATTTCTTCCACAATATCCCTAATCTTCGTTCTACGTCTTATTTTGGTTTTTCTAATCTTGTCTCTCAGTAATATTCCAAGTATGATTCGTTCCATTGCTCTTTGCGTTGTTTCTAATTTTTTAACAGATTTTTTGGTAAGGGCTACTGTCTCCAAGCCGTAGGTACAAACTGGTAGTATGCATGTGTTATACACCTTTTTCTTTAAGTTTACAGGAATGAAGGTGTTTTTCAAGATATATGCTAGTTCGCCGAAAGAGTTCCATGCCAGTTGTGTTCTTTTTTTTAATTTCAGCATCTTGATTTGATTTTGCCGCAAAAGACAGACGTCTGGCCTTAAGATAATTCGCCAACGCACTATAGGTGCACGGCACTATAAGAAGAAGAAGATTTGGTTTTTCTAGTTTGATAACATGACCTAGATATACATAAAGTTCAACATTTTCTACGGTATGATTTTGTATTGTTATATTTGTCTGGTCTCGGCCCAGTATTTTTGTTTTATTGTAGTTCATTTTTAAGTCTTTATTTTCATCATCTCCGGGACTAGACAATATTGATGCAGAACTGATTAAAATAGGAGGGCATGAACTTAGAACTAAAATACACCAATTAATGAAAGAAGCCTGGGAACAAGAAATAATGCCAAAAGAATGGAGTGGCTGTATTATCGTGCCAATACATAAAAAAGGCAGAAAGGATACATGTGGCAACTACAGGGGAATCTCACTAATCGGTACTACATATAAGATATTAGCTTCAGTTGTACTAAAACAATTACTGCCATATACAGAGGAAATTATTGGCGATTACCAATGCGGCTTTAGGCCTGGAAGATCAACAATCGACCAAATATTTACTATCAGACAAATGCTAGAAAAGTATTGGGAATATAATAAAGAAGTACACCCACCAGATCTTCATAGATTTCAAACAAGCATATGATTTCATAGATCGCTTAAAACTGTGGAGTGCAATGATGGAGTTAGGCGTACCAAAGAAGCTGACCATGATTGCGCGAATGTGTGTCAACAATTCCTTTGCACAAATTAGAATAGGAGGCAAAACTTCAAAGGCTTTCGGCATAAGGACCGGGCTCAGACAGGGAGACCCGCTGTCCCCATTACTATTTAACCTAGCATTGGAATACGCAATGCGAAAAATCTATACCAGAGTCAAACCAGACATAACTGCCAGAGGAGCAAAGATTATTCTCGCATTTGCAGATGATGTAGATGCAGTAGCACAGACAACACTGGAAGTTAAGGATATAGTATCGAACTTTAGAAGCAACACTAAGCGTAGGCCTGAAAATAAACGAAGAAAACACTAAATACATGGTCTTATCAAAAAAGGAACGACAGCGAATAAGACAAAATATTATCATAAACGATCATAATTTTGAGGTGGTCAAAGAATTCAAATACCTAGGAGCAACAATTACCAGTGAAAACACAGGAGAACGGGAGGTTGAAATACGAATACTGGCGGGGAATAAATCATTCTTTGCCATTCAACATCTAATGAGGTCAAAGCTTCTCTCAAGGCGTGCCAAAATCCAAATGTACAAAACCATAATACAACCAGCAGTGACATATGGAAGTGAAACATGGACATTGAGAAAGAAAGAAATCAATAAGCTATTAGTATGGGAACGCAAAATCCTGCGAATTATATATGTTCCTTGCAGGGACAGCGTGACAAATGAATGGAGGAGCAGATACAACAATGAAATAGAGACTCTCTTCGGAAAAGGAAATATCGTAAGATACATAAAAGCCACTAGATTAAGATGGGCAGGCCACGTGGTACGGAGTAATGACGACAGACTGATTAGCAATGTATTTTGGGAAAGACCAGATTGTAAAAGATCGACAGGAAGGCCTAGAAAAAGGTGGAAAGACGCAGTCAGGGAAGACCTGGAGAAGATGGAAGTAAGGCCATGGGAAAAAATAGCACAGGATCGAAATCAATGGAAGGCAATAGTCAACGCGGCAAAAACTCACGAAGAGTTGTAAAAGCCAATGTAAAAACAATGCCAACTGCATTTAATTGTTGTAACATATCATTTAGTTCTTGGATATTATCGGCTATTAAAACTATGTCATTTGCGAATCTCAAGTGGTTTAATTATGATCCGTCGACGTTGATACCCTTATTGTTCCATTTTAGTTTCTTAAAAATGTCTTCTAGTTCAAGGGTAAATAGTTTGGGAGAGATAGTGTCTCTTTGTCTTACTCCCCGTTGTAGTCTTATGGGGTTAGTTTTTGTGCTTTCGTCCACCTTTATCTGCATGGTGCAATTTTTATATATATTTTTAATTATGTTAGTGTATCTTGAATCTATACGTGCATTTTCTAGAGATTCAAGCATTGCCCATAATTCGATGGAATCGAATGCTTATGTGTGTGCAATGCTTATGTGTTAGGCGGTTGGTTATGATTTGAGTTAGTAATTTATAGAAATGTAATAGCAAGGATATTGGTCAGTAATTCTCGATATTTGCTTTGTCTCCTTTCTTGAATAGTAAAATAACTTCAGAGTTGTAGCATTCTTGAGGAATCTTTTGAGGAAGCTGTCCGAAGTTCGATCTGTCTGTTTCGTCTTTCTTGGAGTAGTTTAATTGTATTGGGTTGGAGTTTAGATGTTTTGGCCGTTTTCGCGTTTGAGCGTATTTTCTCAACCGATGTTGTTACAGTTACTTTTATTTTATTGGCTAGTCCGTTTATATCCATTTTCTTTAGTGTCTCTATTGATTTTAGTCTTGTACTTAGCTCTTTTTGGTATTCCGTTTGTTTTTGAATCAGGACATCGGTGGTTGGATATCGTGCTTATTTAATGTTTGTTTCGTTCTACTCTCGTCATCTTGTTATTGGAGAGTATGTAGTCTATTTCGTTTTTAATTTTCTTGTCTGGGCTGATCCATGTCCATTTACGTTGTTTAGATTTTTTAAAGAAAGTGTTGAGACAAAATAAATTTTAAACATCTCACCCCTTTCGCTCCTGTTGTCCAGCCCAAAGCGACCGATATATTGTGTGTCGCCCTCTTCTTTTGTTCCAATTTTTGCATTAAAATCTCCTGTGATTATTACGAAGTGTGATTTTTCTTGGTTTCTTGCTGTTGTCAGATCCTCGTAAAATGATTCAGCT